CAAACTTCCACATGCAAAACAAACAACTTCCTGATCTTTCCTAACTTTTTCTAAACAATGCCTTGCTATGTGACCATCCTTTCCACATGCATAACAGACAAAGCTTTGATGAGGTCTCTCGTTGTCTTGACAATGTCTAGCAATGTGACCAGCTTTTCCACATGCATAACAGAGAGTAACACTTTCTGAATTTACTCTAATCTCTTTGGTCTCTGATGGAAACCGTTAGATAATCTAAAACATTCTCTCCTGCCGAATGCAGCAACTGGATGTCTAGATTCTGCAGCTTTCATTTGACTTCTTGCATTGAAATGCTGTGTCATTTTGGAAATGATTTGCTCGTATGGTGTATTTACATCTACATGCAGAGCAATGGCTTCTCGCATGTGTGAACTACTCTGTGCAGACTTAAACATGAGATTTTGTTTAGTTGCATTGGGCAAACCACTGTAACAGCTAAACATTTCCCACAACCTGGATGCAAATGCTAGAGGATGTTCTCCAATTTCCATTGTCACCTCAATTACCTTTCTCAAGTTAACCAAATTAGTCCCAGCAAGACTAAGTACAGCTTCTCTCCTTGTACCTTTGTCTGCTCTTTTGTCACAAACTTCCTGTGAGAGAGCACTGGTTAATAGTCCGTCGGACAAAACCGCAGTAACCCGAAGCAGTGTGGTTTTTGCCCGACGTACTGTGGCATTGTTTTAATCTGATAAATATTACGTTGAGCCCGAGGAACTGTGGCTAGAAAAAAGCTGTTTGAAAAAAAAAAAAAGACCCGACGTACTGTGGTTTTGTCCGATGTACTGTGACAAGCATTGTTATATTTTTTTTAAACAGTTGCAAAAGTTGAAGCTGTAAGTGCTTGTTTTGCCTGAAGTGTAAGACATTTGTTATAATTCTGTTAAGATTCTAAAGTAATTGAATCAGCCCGACGTAGTGTGGTAGCAGAGTTGTATTAGACCTATTGTTTCTAAAGTAACTGAAACAGAGTTGTACATTTCTAAAGTAATTGAAACGGAGTGAGTTGTGATAATTCTGATGAAATTCTAAAGTAACTGAATTGACCCGATGCAGTGTGGTCACAGAATTATTTAATAACTATGGTGTTTTTGTGTTGATTTGCCCGACATACTGTGGCTAAGTAAACCGTTTTAAAAATATAACATAAAACCCGAAGTAGTGCTTTAAACTTAAGAGTCACGGTACGTCGGACTCACTATACTATAACACAACTATCATAAAATAATTCTGTGATCACACTACGTCGGATCAGTTCAGTTACTTTAGAATTCAATCAGAAATATAACATCTTCACAGTCAGTTTCAATTACGTTAGAAACTTACAACTTCAGACACAACAGATCTAATACAACTCTGCCACCACACTGCGTCGGGTTGATTCAATTACTTTAGAATCTTAACAGAATTATAAGAGACCAACAACAAGTTTCAGTTACTTTAGAAACTTTAAACTTAAGCACTTTGCTTCAGTTACTTTAGAAACAACGATTCCAATACAGCTCTGCCACCACACTACGTCGGGTTAATTCAGTTCCGTTAGAATTTTAAACAGAATTCCTAAGCTCAAACATTTTATACACTATTACGTTCATCTTAAGAAATGTTAATGAAGTTTCATCTTAAATGTAAATTGCGGATAACAATGAAAGTGATAGCCTTCCGTTCCCACATCTTTGGTAGTCTTTCAGGTGGAAACAACCAAATGTTAAGGTGATAGGATTATCTAGAATTCCTAGCAATTATATTCAAGTACCCTTTTGGTCAGCAGATGGTTCTTGATGGCCTACACAGCGTGATTGGATGCGTTCCCCATAATGCATTAAACGCAACAGGATAGACCGTTCGATAGGAAACCTAAGATAAGGGAACAAGCGTTGCGTCACTCGCTGTGCTATAAGCTGCACGTGAATCGATGACTGTCGACAGTCGAATGATTCTGATGAAATGGCGCTCCAAGCCGACTTACATAGAGATCGGCGCCGCCCCTTCTGGTGGGCTAAAGCACCATTGGTTTGTGCAGCTACAGAAACGTGAACAAATAAGGCTTCAGTAACAGAGTAAACACTGGTAATGCTATATTGAAATATCGGAAATGTGTTTAAAAATCATATCACCATTATTGAAAGAAAATTATATCCCGATATATATTGATATTGAATTATTGACCAGCCGTACATGTACTTGTACTAAAAAATTTTTGGAACTGATTGATAGTAGGCCTCATTGATCTATGAGTGCTTCATTTTGAGTGAAAAAATCATTATTTGTGGATCATTTTTGGCAATGTTCACTCAAAAACTGTGCATAAGCTTAGATCAATCAGTTCCAGTTTTTTTGTGAGGTTTTCATATCCTGTGTGAGCAAGGTCAGTAGATTTTAATCCAACGTGATAACATTAACTAGAATTTTTGGGGAAAATTATTTGGTTGATTGTCTCACCATTGTAGCAGATGAAAGACCTTTGGCTATTACAGGTATCATTATGCCACAGTCCATTCAGACTCATATAAGCGCAGTCATATAGGCTGCTGTTCGTCTGATTCGACGCCCAGTTGTGAAACACTGAATCATGAGCCGTGTAAAACGCTGGGTCAGCCAGAGACCACTTCCATTCACTCCTGAGGGTCATCATCAGCCCGATCCAGACGCCAAAGATGCCACTAGCTCCGTTCACGCTCTTCAGCAGCTCGGTCACGTCAGCGCTGTTGTCAATTGAGGCCAGATCACTGTACTTCTCACGGCAGTATCTCTGAGCGTCAGTGCAGAACATCCTCGTCTGAACAAACTCAAACTGACGAGGAGCCGACGAGCTGAAGACGGCTGCAGAGGACAAGGTTTCGTTTCAGACTGTTTTCATGTTTGACAATAACTTCGCTATAAAATTAATACTTTTATTCATTGAGGATGCATTAAATTGATCAAAAGTGACAGTAGAGACATTTCTAATGTTACAAAAGATTTATATTTCAAACAAATGCTGTTCTTTTGAACTTTCTATTCATCTGTGAATCCTGAAAAATAAAATGTATCACGGTTTCAGTACAACTGTTTTCAACATTGCTAATAATCAGAAACGTTTCTTGAGCAGCAAATCAGCATATTAGAATGATTTCTGAAGATCATGTGACACTGAAGACTGATGTAATGATGCTGAAAATACAGCTTTGATCACAGAAATAAATTACAGTTTAACAGATATTCACATAGAAAACAGCTGTTTGAAATTGTATTAATATTTCACTGTTTTTACTGTATTTGTTATCAAATTAATGCAGCCTTAGTGAGCAGAAACATTAACAATCCTAAAGAATGCAAACTTTTGAAGGGTGTTTATAAAGCCACATATGCGTACCTGAGAGCAGAAGCATGATGAACACTGTGTCCAGCTCCATTTCTGATGAGTTTGTGTCAGTCTGACCATCTGTCCATCTCTCTTATTCTCTTTCTCAGCTCCTCCCATCAAACCTCATCCAATCCTGCGTGTGTCTGCTGATATTCAACTGTTACGCTCTTTTATTAATTGTTGCCAAACTTCAAATCACAAATCAATCTGCCTTCATTTTCACTATTTCAATATTTACACTGCAAAACATAAATGTATTGCTTAGTATTTCTCTCTTGTTTTCCAGTACAAATATCTAAACATATTTAAAACATGATACATTTAGTTGAGAAGCAAAATGATACAAGGAAGTTTTGTTTTCTTAAAACTGTACCTACTGAAACTCAACACAAATACTCTAAAATCCACATTGAGACATGAGCAGAGACTGCATAAGAGAACCAAACTCACTGTCCTGATCACAGACAAATCAATCACTGTGTACTTCATCAGAAAACCAGCACAGATCTATGCACCATATATTTGAAAAAACAACAACAGAAAAACAGTCAAAACAGAGAATGAAAACTGGACAAAATCATACATCCAAAACTCCAGTTAACACCAACTGTGTTTGTGTGTTTTTCTCCCCATGTGCTCTCCGTGACCTAGTTTTCCCTCATGTTTGATTATGTCATTTGATTCAGGTGTGTCTTGTTATTTGCCCTCATTTTCCAATGCATTTATGTCCCAGTCTGTGCTGTCTGTCTTGGTCGGGTCTCAAATCGTCATGTTTGTGTGTCAAAGCTGTTCCTTGTGTAGATACCTCTTGTGTTTTGGATTACATTAAAGCCCGTCACTTTGATCCATGTCTCCGCATCGTCCCTCCGACACAGTCCGTGACACCAAGAGATTCACCTAATTTACTGGGAAACAATACAAAGACCCAATCACCCAAAATCAACTGACAATAACTGAGATTATAAACCAGTTTCAGCACAATGCATTTGCAATCATGCGTTTGGCTGACGCTTTTATCCAAACAATAAGAATATTGTTTAATATTAGTTTCTCTATTACAAATGTTCCAACAATAAGGGAAAAACTTATCATAAAAACTGGCCATCCAAAATATAAAAACATATCCAAACACTGTTTAATACAGTATAAACAGACACAGACTATAAGTAAAATCTAATAACAAGAGAGTCAGTAAGGGTTTGCATTAGGGTTTGTTTAGTACCTGATTTCTGTTGTTTAGATTAATAGTTGCTGCTTTGAAGATATTCTCTATTTTTACTCTTATTTTATTAAGCAAACAAAGATTGCATTTGTTTGTAATTAGAATAATAGCTGCTGACAAGAGGAAGTTTATTTGTTATTTGCATTGCTCGCTGCATGGCCATAACCAGGGTTTGAAAATGAGTGGGGTGGGGTGCTGAGAATTGTGTTATAATAACACCTACAAATAAAACTGAACCAACCTCAGATAGTGTGCTATAGATCCCCTGAGGAACAATTCCACTCATTCTCTGCTATAGGAGAGAAAGAATTGTATAAACTTGTTAAAAAGTCAGCGAGCAAGTGAACAAAACACCACAATTCAGCGATGACTCATCTGAACACCTCTGATTGGCCATTGCATTCATAAGCTCAACAGAATCGTGTGTGATTGGTTATAATGCAGCGCTGTACAAATGCATCTGTCTCTGGCTCATCGCCAGCCAGCAACACAGATTTCAATTTAGCAGCTGATGATGTGCAGCACTGAACTATTTAATCACGCTGGTGTGATTGTATAAAATATAAAAAAAATATCATTCAGCTATTTTTTTGTCTTTTATTGGTGACTTGACTTGACTTGACTAACATCGCTACTGAAGACCTGCTACACTTACCACCTTCAATAAATTTTTCTCCTCACAAGAACTCTGGTCAAGTTTACTTAATGTTTTAGAAAAATTAAATACATTGGCAAGCCACCCACGAACTTATAAACACAGGACAATTACCAAACACAGGTGCACAGAATGACTAATTAACTAAACGAGGCCAGGAACATGACCAAATAAGGGAACACAGGAACAGAAACAGAGGCAAAACACAACAAAACAGGTCCATGATCCTGACACCCCTTTTTTTTTTTTTTTTAGTATTTTTTTCTTTTTTTAACATTAATTTATATATTTCCTTTTACCTGTGAAGGAAAGCTGGTTAGTCAATGGCGGGTAAGATTTCTTATAATGAATGAGACAACCTAAGACAGGCACAGCTCTTCCGTATCTAATCTTCGACCGATTTAAGATATACCTCTCCATACGACATACTGCATTGAAATATATATCTAACAGTGGACTGGTTAGCCAATGACGGGTAAGATCTTCTCTGAGTGTTTAGACAACCTAAGACAGGCACAGTCTCTTCATGTCAGGAGAGTATTTCCGATCATGTAAATTTGACAAGATTGATTCACTAAAAATCTCCTCAATTAAATTCTATTATTTATTTATTTTTGGTGGGGAGGAGTGTAATATCATTACTAGTACTTCTTTTAATAGTATTTAGTTTTAGGAGGTAGGGGAAAAAAAGGGAAAAGGGAAGAAAAAAATAGAAAAAATAAATCTCTCCTATCCATAGTTCTAAGTTTGCTATTGTTTGATTAACCATATGCTCCTAATACTTCCAGAAGTCATAGATCCTCTTCTGACTATTATTAATTCATCATTGTATACATTCAAGCTCTTATGCATAGCTTTCTTTTACTTCTCTATTCCGTTATTGTTCTTTGTCTATATGTTTGTCTAATGTCATTATGCTTATCTCTTACGTTGTTGACTGGATCTGTGTGTGTTTGTTCACGTGTTTGTTTATGCAAATGTTACGTGCCACCAAACATCTATCAATTCAAATATGCTACACAATGAATGCCCTAACCAGATATCTATATATATATATGACTCAGCATATTAAGATACTCTCATGGAACGTTAGAGGATTCAGCTCCCCAGTCAAATGAATATTGAATTATCTTAATAAGAATAAATGTGATATCAGCATGCAACAGGAGGCTCATCTCACAATTGAAGAGTCCAAAAAAATAACTGCAGGTTGGATAAGCCAATATTTTCATTCTACGTTTAACTCTATAAAGAGAGGGGTGTCAATTCTTATTAGGAAAGGCATTTCCTTTTCCCACAAGACAACAATAACAGACCCAGATGGATGCTTTACCATTATAAATGGTTATATTGGAAAATACAGTATTACTATAGCAAATATTTATGGACCAAATACAGATAAACCATCTTTTTTTCACTCTGTGTTTGTAGAACTAAGTAATTTCCCTAATGCCTCTATTATTTTAGGAGGCAATTTTAATACTGTGCTCAACCCACAACTAGATCGCTCCAATATAGGAATCAAATATAAAACTAATAATTCCTCTGCTACTATCACTCAGTATATGGAAGACTATGGACTGAAAGATGTTTGGAGATTGCATAGTCCTGTATTTCCTGTATCCCATTTATGTTGCCACTCCTTAGTGGTATATGCTTTAATTACTGCTTCTGCTCCATATTTACTAAGTGAGATATTCATGATCTCCTCATTTTCCAAAGCCTGTTTTGCTAATCCATCAACCTTTCCATATACTGGAGCAAATACTTGATATATACGGTTTGTAGTCTATCTTCAACAACAGCTACAATGTAAGACAATGCAATGAAAACAACTAGTTTATTTAAGTCAACCAGTACTCCTTCTTTATTTACCTGTTCTACTTCTTTTGAGGTTTGATTCTCCGCTCTGTTTCTTTCATTTCTTCCTTCTCTTGGATTCAGCATCATCACAGCTTCTGCATATGTGATCTTATTCTGAGTTCTTACCTGTTTTATTTCCCTTCGTACACATATATTACATTTAGATTCAGATTAAAATTAGAATTGATTTAGATAAGATTTAACGCATTTGCTTAAAGAGGTTTTGTGTTTGATTAGAAATAAAAGCAAAAGCTGCAGATGTTTTGTGGTGTATCTTCCATCAGTGTCTTTGTAAATCTACACGATCACTAAAACTGATGGAGATTAAGCTCTTATCAAAGGCACACAGGTTCACTGCCAAAGGCAGGGTGAGCGTGAAAGACAACAGGCACTTTATTGAAATACAGTGCCTGTTGAGGAATTAATTGTGGAATAAATTCCAAAAAAAAAAAGTACATTAATTCCACACAAGGTCTCAATCACAAAAGTTCAACTCCAAATGATGCATACAGATACACAAAAACAATAGAAAATAAAGGAGGTGGCCAGCAGGGGTCCTCAGACTTCCACCCAACCCTCAACAAAAAAAGAAACGCACGCACACCTATGTATGGAGCCAGAATGATCTCAATAATAATTCACGCAAAAGACGCGATGCACACATGCGTAACCCAATTCACATGCATAAGAAATAATTCACTTGCACAAACAATATATATATATTCACAAAAACCAACCAACATGCACAAAATAAGAATATATATTCATAAAATACGTTTCACAAATGCAAAACACAATTCACAGATGTACAAATGTGTACAAAATTTTTGAATGTTAAAAATTCACGAGTTTATCATGGGCTGTAAAAGTGAATTCACATTTTTGAGTGTCTAAACGACCGATTTAACTTCCAAGTTTTAAGTAAACATGCAAAAATAAAACGATAAACCTTTACTTGGCTAGTTAACTGAAATAAAACGATCAACTGCACTTACCTCTGCTAAATCATAACTTGAACGGTGGTCTCCCGCTGATGATGTCAGCATACAGGTAGGCACGCCCAGCTTCCGATTCACATTCACAGCCCATGATAAACTCGTGAATTTTTAACATTCAAAAATGTTGTACACATTTGTACATCTGTGAATTGTGTTTTGCATTTGTGAAACGTATTTTATGAATATATATTCTTATTTTGTGCATGTGAATTGGTTTTTGTGAATATATATATATTTTTTGTGCACGTGAATTATTTCTTATGCATGTGAATTGGGTTACGCATGTGTGCATCGCGTATTTTGCGTGAATT